CTCGCGCAAAAGTCTAAGAACCTTACGGACGTGGAGTCTATGGACTTCCACGTTTGTTTTTCCATCCATAGCCCGACTATGGACGAACACATCATCGAAGTAACTCTGTGCAAATTCGCACACCGGTCTCAATATATGTGAACACACATCTGCTGAATGTGGCTGGTGCATTACTGAGCACTTGCGGCATCACCAACCATTCCCAGAGCATACCACTGGGAGTGCTCACTTCTGTGTACGGGATGTCCCGTTCACCTATTAGGATCTGATAGGAACCATCCATCAGATCCATGGACGAAAATATGGTACTCTTAGACACACCACCTATGATTACGTCCTTTCTCAGTATCGGCGTTTGCGCCGGTATCGTTGCAGCGTTCAACTTGTTGAACGCGTGTACCCTCCTGTGGCCTTGCGCACACAGAAGGTCGGAGAGCTGTGAGGTGAAGTTGATTCCCTTACATGGCCCGCAGCTAGGCAATCGGCAAAGAACTTGTCGATCGCCTAGACCTGTTCCCGAATCAGTGGCTACAGCTTCATGACACAATATTTTGTGCCAGGAACTAGGTCGATCTCGTGGCGAGTACCTTAATTCTTAGGCAACTCGCACGGAACGGATTTAAAGAATACATCCTTGAATTCGACCAAATCCTTGTACAAAGGATTTGACTTCAGCGACTCCCAGGATTGCGATGTATATCGTTCAATCCGAGTCTTCTTATCAAGGACACTTTCATCCATTGATGAGCTGCTGAGAACCCGTTCGTTCTCGGCAAAAACTGTTGCTGACCGAATGTCAGTCATGTACTCGTCTTCTGCGACGAGCACACAGATCTGCTTGACTTTTCCACTACGCAGATCATGCAAGAACCTTAAAAGGTTCTAGCGTAGGCAACTGAGTTATCTCCGAAGTTAACTTCGGAGGCGCGATCAGATCAAGCGTATAAGCGCCTACGTTTGATCCGTCATTAACCAAGACGTTCAACTTCTCGGTCACTTGCTAGGCTCTTATTCCCTCAGGGCACTGGGGACTTATTCCCTCAGTGACTGTTTCCTAGGGGGCTAATTCCCGCAGGATCGATATAAATTGTTCCATCGATTTCCTCTAGTTGTGGTGGCGCAACCATAGAGAGATCCTCTACGATCAACTCTACAGTTGATCTAGGATTACCGTGTTGCCACTTCTGGGCAACCGGTTTACGCTTCGGTGAATGCTGCCCTCTAGGCGAGCATTCATGTCCCGGTCCACTCGACTTATTCGAGTGGTGGACCTTCGGCGCTGCCTGTGCTTGTGCACAGACGCCGGCAGCTTGCTCCACAGCGTGACTGTCTGTCACGCTGAGTTCTTGTGCAGTCGTACTAACGACCGAACCACAAGTGAGGCCATCACACTCACTCGTAGTACATTCACACGCTTGTGAACGCTTCAAGACGTTCATCAGATGGCCATCTGATGAACAAGCGGCAGGCATATTCACGGTTCGATGCTGCCAGCTGACCCATGGCTCGTACCTTCTGAGCCATGGTAATCCTAGGATGACATCAAATTTTTCATCCAGGTCAAGTACGATGAAATCATCATCGTACTTTTTGCCTTCAAGCGTGTCGTGAACTCCCACTACACGTTTCTTTACTGTTACGGATGCGCCAGTTTCAAGGTGCACCGTCATCCTCGTTGGAGGGGTCTCGCGCTCAACACATTTGAGCCTACGATCATCTAGCGACTGGCGTCGAACAAAGTTGTTCGACGCCCCACAATCAACTAGGACGCGAAGTGACATGTTCTTTGTCACTTCGGTCTTCAAGGTGATGAGAGATACCTCCTCACTGGGAGCGGCAACAGACAGTGACTGTGTGTTAAGAGCAACCTTCGTCAAGTGTCCCGCGAACTCTCTTGACGTTTCTGGATCAGTAGGGCGCTCCGCCCCTACTGACCCCGACCGTTTTTTGATGGTCCACCACGTTGTTGCGATTTCGCAGCAACGTGGGACCCACGTCTCTGGCCCTTCTTGGCAGACGGACGATCGTCACTCCACACTGGGCGTGGGGCACTACACTTAAAGCGTAGTGGCCTAATTTCTGACAGCGATTGCACTTTTGCAATCGCTTGTACCCTGGAGAGCGAGGTCGCTCGCTCATTACATAGGGGAGGTCCATTGGTTCTGGACCTCCGCCCTCCTGTCGCCTAGGTGGACGATAGGACCCCGAGTGGACGTTGCCTGTTGTAGGCTAAAGTCCTCCTGTTCCGCTGCAGCGATTGCTTGAACCAGCGATTCTAGTTCCAAGCGGAACAGGTGGATCTTGACAGGACCATTTGACAGACCTTACTGATGAACACAGTAACCTGCATGTACATCTATAGGTTTAAGCACGATACAGCTAACGAGGTATCGTACGTGTTGGGCGTAAGCGTGTACATCACGCTTACCCTGTTTCAAATCCAGGAGCACACCTGAGCCCTGAACTCGAGGCGAGGCGGTTCAAACGTGTGTTTGAGCCTCGCCTTGAAGTCGTCATACGTTGGGAAAACGTATGGGTCATGCAGTTTGAGCCCAAGCTTTGGCACGTCCTGCCAAGTTCGACAGGGCAAACTTGACCTTCATCGCATCGTCATTGATGCGACGAGTCTCAATGGCATCGTCGAGTTCGACGAACCATCTCAACAAGGAGTCGCTTTCGACTGCCTTGTACTTATAGACATCAGTCTTCAAGAATTCGGGTCGACGTATACACGTCGACCCGGCAGCAACAGCATTTGCCTGCTGTTGTCTCAACATTTCAGACTGTTGAGCACCCTGCTGCATCAACAAGTCAGCTTGTTGAGCGCCTTGTTCTCTCAACAGGTCAACCTGTTGAGAACCTTTCTCCTGTGGCAAGGTGAGTTTCTTTACGACTTCGTCAAGTTCATGTTGTATAAACTTGGCGATGGTTGTATGTTGGTCGTCTCCGCTAAGAGAGAGCAACATGGCACCAACGGCAGGGTTGCCGGTAGTTTCAGCCATACGCTGAACCGCATTTCATTCGAGGTCACTCAAATGGTGGAAATCATCACGCGTTGCGTGATGATGTTCATCATCCGCCGATTCCATAGCGGGTGGTGCGGTGGTCGCTGAACGGACCAAGAAGTGCTTCCAGGTGTAATGGGGCAACCCCCGACTATACTGATAACAGTATAGTCTACCTTCACTGATGAAAGTGAAAGCAGGTGCCTCAATAACCTCTCTTACACAAGAGGCAGAGGAAGCTTTACTTCTAAACGACATAGGAAAAACGAGAACTTTATTTAATATAGTTAACTATCTAATAAAACTAATCTGTTATAACCTATGTTAACTGTATTAAGCTTCAAACGCACAGGAAATGATCCTAAACAGGATGGCAGTGATCTGTCTGGCAGAGTATCGGCCAATTTGAGCCTGTATAGTACATGCCGAAATAAAAGATGAATCCCTAGGAGCGCTGAGAATTGAACTGCCAATCCCACTCGACAGGTTTACATGTTTCACATCATTTCTATCATACATGGATGAGGCGCCAATTCGTCATTGTCCTACAGAGGACGTTTCTGTTGGCTGTCCTGTGTCGACAAGATTGGATAGACAGGGTAATAAGCTAGGACATTTTCCTTATATACTATCATATTAATCCGTCAAAGCCAGTTGAGGCCATGCCTCTGACATAGGCATTTCGTTGGTTAATGTACTCGGCTCATTCATGCAAATGATAAACGGTTCATTGCGGGCTTTCAAAAGTTTCCCACTACTTTTCAAAATGCATTTTTTTTTCAAACATCGTAATCTTTTAGTTTGCTCTGAAGAGCGATATTTGCCCTCGGAGATACATCAATTTGCGGTTAGACACAGCGAATATTAAACTTGAGACTAATGTTTAATCTCTACGCGCCATCGGTGAGCCCGTTACATAATATTGACACTTCATATAAGTGTCAATAAAAATATTATTATAACTAATAATATTTGACAATATTATCTTTTCCTATAATATTGTCTTCAAATCTCCTTGAAGTTGGAGATGCCCTCTAATTGGTTGATATGGGCCATTATGTTATTCGGTGCGCTGACCAATGACCGATGGCCGCGCGCAATGAGTGGATGGCAAGTTGTCAACATACATGATTATAGTCTTCTCCAATGATGTGCCATAGTATTAATTTTACTCGCCTGCATTCTGGATGTGGTATTACCATTCCCGTTAGATTGGTGGTGGCCGTTGAACTTGTGCGCAGACCCGCAAGTCTCTTCACCAGTTGTGTGAAAGTCTGCATCTACGTCTGCATCTTCGTCTGCATCTTCGTCTGAATCTACGTATGTGTATTCTCTTTACCGTGCTTTCTTTTCTCAGGTGAAAGGCACAGGCCAGCCGCGCGTGCTGAAGCAAGCGTTACAAGACGCTCGCTCGGCGCTGCGTTTAATACCCGCGACAAGAGCAACGTGTTTAAGGACAAGCGTCTCGGACCTGATTGGTCCATGAAGGATAAGATGATGGCTTGGTTTCAGACGGACCGCAAGCGCAAGATGCGCAACGCGTCGGCGTTTGCGCTACACATCTCAGACTCGGAGCAAGAAGAACACGATGATGTGCCATTCTTAATGCACAAAGGGGCAAAAATTATCGACGATGACTACGATGTTTTCAATGTGAACGAGTTATTGGACGATGAGGGTGACTTGGAGGAAGGTAGATGATGGGACAGAGAGATTGTCTGCATACTTTACTTCAGAGGTGGGAAGGGAGACGCCGATGCACCAGAAATTGATGAAGGAGATGGGAAGAGGAAGACATACATAGAAGTGATGCAAAAGTCATGATGAAGGCAAAAGTGTACAAGGCGGAGCGGCAGAAGAATGAACACTCGCAGGAAGATACTACAGAACAAACGAGCTGAACGGTTTGCGGATCTGCGTGGGCCGCACGAGTTCTGTCCTAGCGTGCCAGTGGCTAGGAAGTAGTACCGTGAGCCGATAGACGACGCTGACAAAATGAAGCGGGAATTTGTCTTTGAGGCCAAGGCAACGGAGCGACGAATGTCGCCGGAGGAGACTGCTGCGAAGGAGCGTGACCGTCTTGTTCAACTTGAAAAGTTACATGTGCTGCGTATGCACAAGGCTGATGCTGATGACATTGAAAACGACGACCAGGAAAGCATAAGAGGCAGAAGGGTAAGAAGAAAGCGAAAGGGCAAACTTGCAGTTTATCGTGATGCCGCTACCAATGACGATCTAACTGACATCTACGCGGTCTATAATTGTTTTGCTGCTGATGCTGAAGAAGAAGGTGGACGAAGAGCCGAGGATGGAGATGAATAATGAGGAAGTGGATGAGAGCAAGGAGGAAGAAATTGAGGCATAATCCGTAAGAATTTGGACATTGGGAATGAAGTCATGGTGCAAATGGAAGAAGCACGGGGAGAGGAGACAAAGGAGATGCAGGAATTACGACATTTGTTGCTGGTCGAAGAATAAAACGTTACGCTCAACTAGCATTATGCGCAAGGGTGGCAATATGCTTAAAGGTTGCTGGATCAGCTCATGAACAGATCTTTGGGTGACTACACAGCATCTTAGGCAATGACTGGGCGTATTATCCGACGACGCAATGATCTTGTCATTGTTGCGTCCGTAATGGCCAGAAACGGCTGGGAGTCATTTGAGAAACACGCCACGTACTCCGTTATCATCAAGTATGAGAATATCGTATTAAAGCTTGTGGTACCGATACATGGTAACAGCGAGCGCCGCATTAATATGAAGTGTCTCAACACCGCAATGAATGGTGTTGCTCGCTGCGCCGGAGTGATAGATTGGGCACGCGACCTGGTTGCGAAGGAATTCGTATATTGCTCCACTCTTCTGCATGCGCAAGTCTATGGAATACCGTATCATTTAAGACTACCGCGACATGATTTGACAGGGTGTGCTGATGGAGGATATCTTTTCGACAGCATTACTGCATGGACCCGATGTCAGCGTACACCAAGTGTGAAGAAAATGAATTTACAGTATCCCAGACACTAGTATACTTATCTTGCCATTAGGAGAGTCGATCCTTTAGCGGACGAGTGTCGCGTGAGAATTATTCCTTGCATTAGCTAAGGAATCGGCCATGAATCGAAATATGAGGTTATAAAGAGGATTCAAGTACGTGATACTTAGAAGATAAAATAATAAACTTTGTCGTAGGAAGAAGTTTTTTTGCGAATGAACAAAACTTTAAGTTATAATCCGAAATGTCAATATGTTTATAAGCTTCAGCTACGTCACCAGGGCGCTGGTAAATTGAGTATACTAATACGTGAAAAAAGCTGATATAGATCGACCCCTTAGCTAATTAGGTAACTAATGTGCTGCTTATATTAAAAAAATGGAAACATCAAACAAAACTTCCTACAAATTAGTGTCGGTACACCAATGTACTCGTCATGTTCGCATTCGTGCCCGTATCATTGAATAAAAATCGGTTACGAAGAACTTATCAAGAAAATAATACCGGCAAAATAGTACGTAATATCTGTTGTTGTGATATGTTCCTCCCAAGTTGAAGTCGTTGGAACATTTCACGTCCGTTTACACATTTCACGTCCGTTTACCGATTCCGATGGTGAAACGTGGAAACAATGGAGAAGGGAAACGGCGGAGATCAGAATGGGACGAGTCGACAACTGGACGAGTCGACAAACGTTGGTGACAAGGCGGCGGCTCGCAGGTTAGCTGCAGCCGCATACGTGAAAGCTCGAAAGCTCAGTCAGAAAAGTGCAAAGTGCAAGGCAAGTCGTCAGTAGCCAGAAAGAGCTAAACGAAGTAATATATATCTTTGAGTGTCAAGAGATATATCTCTATATCTAGCATAGCTGGACGCTAGAGAGACTGCAATAAAGCGAGATTGCAACAGGGTTATGAGCCCAAGCCTGAGCAAGGCTTAAGCATAACCAAGAAACGGCGACGCATTTACAGGCTAAGGCTGTAAGTGTTTGAGTGCGAAGAAAGACTCCGTTTGTCAGGAAGGACAAACGTAAACTTACCTAAAAGCTGGCACAACATGTCAAACAAGGTAGAGCTGAACAAATATGGACGACCCGTAGGATGGCATGGGCAATCCTGGGCGTACTACAAAGGGATGATGAAACTGACCTTTGAGGAAAAGGATGTGCTGGATTATGCTACGGGAAACAAGATTCTCGTAGGTAACGCAAGTGCAAACGAAGTGAAAGCGTTTCGAGAGGCACAAATAACAATCAAGCAGCTTATTCTTGCTTCCCTATCAATGGAGTTGGGGCAGCGTGTGATGACGAAAGCAACTGGCACCGAGATGTGGAAATACTTGGAAGACTTTTACGAGGGAAAGACTAATGCTGCAACGAGAACAAACCAAGAAATTATTCTTTACAACAAGTTAAACGCGATGAAGTGCAAACCTAATTGGGACGTTGCGCAACACGTGGAAAACATGTTCATGATTAAAGATCAATTGGTCGCTGTGAACGCAGGTATTCGGGACCCGATCTTTACGCAGATGTTAATTCGATCGTTGCCGGCGAATGTGCGCTTTGATCGTCTGAGAGGCATGGTTGAAAGCGATGACGACAAGGTGGACACTTCGGAAAAATTGAAAGATCAGATTTTGCGAATGGATAGTTTTAACAAGTGTGATCGGGAGCTTGGTGCCCATGGTGTCATTGGAAATGTGCAGGACAATGGAGGCAGTCAAACATCCAAGAACCGGCAAAACGCTAGCTGTGCAAGATCACATATCGGAACCAGAAAGTTAATAGCTGCCGACAAAGTACTCCAAAGCACGACTTCACAGGCGGATAAGCAGCATGGAAACTGCTTTAATTGTCATAAGCCTGGACACCGCATGAGAGACTGTCCTATAATGAAGAAACCAAAAACGAGTGATTATCAGGTGGCATTTGCACAGCATCCGAAGAATGAGCTTGCGGATGGATGTCAAGAAAAGCCGGATGAACTGATGGTGATGGCAAAGAACAAGCTGTCAACGAGGGAAAATACTCCAGACAGAAACTGCACACAACGACAATGGTGTCTTGACAATGCGTCGAATGTACATGTGGCATCTGATTTACGATACTTTATTGATTATAGCGCATTTGATAACAATGCACAAGCTCAATGTATCCGAGGATTTCAGAAGCACTTTAAAACAAAGCCGATTGGTCAGGGAACCGTTCAGATACTTGTTCAAAACGGATCAAGCAGCAACATGATAACACTTTATGACGTATTATACGTTCCTGACTGTATGAATTTAATTTCTCACACACAAGTCGAGGACCAAGGACATACTGTGAAGTATTGCATCCGAGAGGGAGAAAGATTCTACGAGCTTTGGCAGCATAATCGGAAGCTGCTGAACATCAAAAGAGATGACTGTGGTCTTTTCACATTTAATGCCATCAATGATTTTCTATCACAAACGAGTGACAGGGGTGAACTGCTGATCACAGATAAGTGCTTCCATCCTCAGGTAAATCATACGCGCGCACAAGGGCACGCTGATATCCAACGGTGGCAAGAAAGGCTGGGCCATCTTAATCCACAGTACGTGAAGCTCATGGCAGATCGCAAGCTAGTAGACGGAATGTCACTAAGCCCAAAACAATTTATTGATTGCGAAGCATGCCACATTGGTAAAGACCGACAACGTACACGTCATAAGCATTTGATGCGTGATATAACGACGAAGAATCAAGTGATATTTGTCGATTTACTTTTTCCGAAGTACAGCTCAAGCCCAAGAGCGTATAAGGCGGTACTTGTTGTAGTAGATGGATACTCCCGGTATACTACGGTGTACCCACTTTACTCAAAGAACGCATCGGAAGTAAATACAGCCATCAAACGATACATTTCCTGGGCAGAGCGTCAATTTCCCGCAAATAAGGTCAAGCAAGTGATATCTGACGGCGGAGGGGAATTTGTAAATGGGGAGATTACCCGTTGGTACAGGAATGTTGGCATTGAGTTCTTACCAAACCCACCTCATGGATCACACTTGAACCTGTGTGAGAGAGCACACCAAACCCTAATTCACATGGTGAAGGCAATGATGGCGTCCACAAAGCTACCAAAATCGTTTTGGATGCATGCGCTTGAGATGGCTACGTACCTGAGAAATAGGGCATACTGTCGATCAATCAAAGAGACTCCATACAGAATGATGATGAACAAGAAGCCAAACCTACATGGTATAAAGAAGTTTGGATCTCTCGCTTATGTCCATCAAGCGAACAACCCATCTCGGAAGAAACTAGATGATAACTGCAGAATTGGTTTTCTTTTGGGGTACCTGGAAGGACAAGCCGGATTTAAAGCTTATTTTCCAGCAGATCAAGTGGTTCAACACGTTTTGGATGCTTCGGTCAATGAGGATATAGTATACGGTGACCGATATCACGAAGGATATGCTGTCGCCGTATCAGATTGGTTGTCACGTACAAGTACGGATGATAAAAATGGAGCGAGTATGGAAGTCGATAGCAATGACGAAAGTATTGCGTCGGACGAAGTCAGCATGGAAGTCGACAGCGATGATGACATTATTGCGTCGGATTGTGAATCGATCCCGATTGACTATGAGAGCGAGTCATCAGCAATCGAGTCATCACCAAAGTTTGAATTAGTTGATGTGGATTCAGTGGAGACCAACATTGATATTCCTGTAATTCGGGATACACTCGATCTGAGTAATCAGAGCCCTATGTGTGCCAATGCCAGTGATGATGCAATTCAAAAACATCATACAAGCAAGCCCTCTAGCTTGGAAAGTGAAACGACCCACGATACCGAAACAGATGTTGACAGTCAATCAGCTGCCGAAAATTGCGACAAGGTGAGTTGTGACTATCGGTCAGAGACATCCGACACTAGTAATAGCGAGGATGAGGATGAAAATGTACATGCAGATACGGAACTACCTACCACATCCAAGGATACATTACATTCACGCGAGGGTGCGACGACGAGTGAGTCCAGCAATGACCTGATGGATACGTGTATGATTCCTGAAATAATTACTGGAGAACGTAGGAAAGTTTTGGATGCGGAGCTAGAGGATGTCCAAGAGATCAAACGACGGCGCGATAACAAAGGAAGGCCACAGAAAATGGTCTTACGCCAGTCAACAGAGCGCCGATACCCGTCGTGGCTTGAGGGGTACCTTGTGAATGCTGCACTCCATGAAAATAGCGAAAGTCTTACAGCGAACCATAGATGGCGAGCAAATGAGACCAAGATTCCCAAAAGCTTTACTGAAGCGATGAAGACGCCGCAAAAAGACGAATGGTATAATGGTATGAAAAACGAAGTGAACGCCATGTTTTCTAAGGGAGTATTGGTTCCGATTGATGAAACAGAAGCCCCGGCGAAGGCAAACAAATTAGGATTAATGTGGAGATTCCAAGTGAAGACTGATGACCAAGAATTCATTACTCGTTTTCGTCCTAGACTTGTAGGATTAGGAAACCATCAGCAGCCAGGAATTGACTACGTGGAATCATTTTCGCCTGTCGCACGGATTGTTACCTTTCGAGTGTTGGTGGCACTAGCCACAAAATTCGGACTGGTTTTATATCAAGGAGATGTACAAACAGCATACTTGAATGCGAATTTACAGATCAGGCAATATGTCCGAAATATACCAGGATTCCCTCAACCCCCAAGAATCATCTATCGAGTGGACAGAGCGCTCTATGGCTTGCATCAGTCAGGAGCCGAATGGAATGAAGAGATTGATAACTGGTTGGTCACTCAAGAGTTCAAACGTAGTGAGACTGAGCCTTGTCTTTACTTCTACTGCAAACATGCAGTACTGGCTCTTCTCATGTTATACGTCGACGATGTGGTATTAGCGACTGATTCTAAGGCATATAAGGCATCGTTTTTTGAAGCCATCGACGCGAAATATGGTTTTAAAGATGGAGGAAAGCTGCACTATTTTTTAGGCATCAATGTCGAGCAAGATGAGACGGACACGTATATTCACCAAACGAAATATTGCAAGGAAGTTCTCGAGAAAGTTGGCTTTGGCGAAGCACACGGTAGTGCAACTCCTATGGAGACCAACACTAGATACAGGAAGTGCATTGAACCAGCTGAAGACACTGATTTTGATTATCGAGGAACTATTGGATCGTTGATGTACTTGGCGACTACTACAAGGCCAGATATTGCGTATGCTGTGGGCTACTTGAGCCGTTTTGTGAGCAACCCATCACGAAAACACTGCGGAGCCGTCAAGCGAGTATTGCGATACCTATCTGGTACACTACAAACCGGCATAAGATACACACGAGATATAGGAGCAAACGAAGATGTTGTCATTACTGGATATTGTGATGCTGATTGGGGCAACGATCCCGACTCAAGAAAAAGTGTCATCGGATTTGTGCTTATGATGGAATCTGGAGCTGTCGCATGGGCTGCCAGACGTCAAACAATAGTCGCACAATCAACCGCAGAAGCCGAATATGTGGCAGCATGCGAAGCGTCCATGGAGGGTCGCGGAATTGCAAATATGCTCAATGAGATTTTACACTGTATACAGGCACATGCTGTACTAACGATGGGCATTGACAATGCGGCAGCTATTTCGTTGGCATGCAAACCCACACATAACAGCAAAACAAGACACATTGAGCTAAGATGGCATTATGTGCGCGAACAAATTAAGGCTGGGCATATTTTGGTAAAGAAAGTGTCCGGAACAGAGAATCCTGCTGATATGTTCACAAAGGCTCTACCGAAGCGCAGCCTAGCGAAGTATCGAGCCGACATTGGCATGAGGATTTCACAAGAGTAAAGATGTTCCGACACAAGCGTCGGAGGGGGCGTGTTGTGATATGTTCCTCCCAAGTTGAAGTCGTTGGAACATTTCACGTCCGTTTACACATTTCACGTCCGTTTACACATTTCACGTCCGTTTACCGATTCCGATGGTGAAACGTGGAAACAATGGAGAAGGGAAACGGCGGAGATCAGAATGGGACGAGTCGACAACTGGACGAGTCGACAAACGTTGGTGACAAGGCGGCGGCTCGCAGGTTAGCTGCAGCCGCATACGTGAAAGCTCGAAAGCTCAGTCAGAAAAGTGCAAAGTGCAAGGCAAGTCGTCAGTAGCCAGAAAGAGCTAAACGAAGTAATATATATCTTTGAGTGTCAAGAGATATATATCTATATCTAGCATAGCTGGACGCTAGAGAGACTGCAATAAAGCGAGATTGCAACATCTGTTACTTACAAAGATGACGTTTCTGCCACTTAATTGCCATTTTTCTGATTCTGTCGGGGCTTTTGGGATTATTTGACTGTAAAGTTGAAGCCCGTCGTATTGCACATAACTTCCAATTTGACGCAATTACAATTGAAGAGACGAAGAATTGGTGAGTTTCTAGAATATATATATACATGTAGAAACAACCGATGAAAATGGTAAAATTATATTGATTGTGGATCATGAATGACTAGAAATTATAGTGAAAGTCCAGCGCAACATGCTCGACAATTGGTGCATAACAATGTATGGGCAACACTATCGACAATCTCAGTCCAGTTTAATGGAGTTCCATATGGTAGCACTGTGTCATACAGCGGTACATGAAGGTATAAATGAAAGGAAAAACAAAAGAGTCTATTGACTTGAATATTTGGGTGTATTTAGATGGCATCGCGTACTCAATGGCGAACTCGACAGGCGAGATCTTCTTTTACATTACACCAATGGATGCTACCGGTACGAAGTAATGGAGGCCCAAGTAGTTTGGAAACTAAGACATTACTTGCTTTTGTAGGAGCAGATCTAAGTGTCAATTCTACTGCGTCCGTGGCAATCACGATGGCTCAGGAAGGAGAAGATGCGTGCAAAATGGATGTTGAAGACCCGACGTGCTGGAAACTCACTTTAACCGGAAAGGTGGTGCCTGTTTCGGGGCAGCAGCGCTACGATGCTGAGAAAGTATTGTTCTCCAAGTAAAGTTTTTCTCAGTTTTTGTGACAATATCGTTCTTTTTGGAGAGTCTGATTCATGCTGACCGTGTTGTTACTTGTTCATTTGTGATAGGCACCCACAGATGGAGACTTGGCCGAAGAAACATGGGTTTCGACCATATCTTCTTGAAATTGAAAACATTATCCTCCTTGATTTTTACGGCGGTGCCAAGCACGTCCTGGTACAAGAGTACTACTCGATCAAGCTGTAATTTGTTTTATGAGCAGAATTTGACTTTGGCGATTGACGTGCATCTATCACGATTGAAGAAAAAATGGTGTTCGAAGCTCAGACAAGGTTCGAAAATGAAAACAAGCGTTAAAAAAACTACCAATTCTGCTTTGATAGCGATGATTTTACCAGCACAAGAGACGAAAGTGGACCCATATAATGTGTGATCGTCACCTAGATGCCAGTTCTCCATAGCAAACCTAAAGCGCGGTTGACACCTCGCTATGCTGTCAACCGGCCTTTTCAAAAGATGACACAAGTCTGCATTAGCTAAAACTTCGCACCATTACCGACCTACACCTCCCTTCCATAACGTACATGAACACGTGACCATCGTCCTGTCGTTCTACATTCTACATTGCTGCGGTGTACACCACCAATTTTCTTAGTCGCACTGCATTACTTGCCTGTGTCTTGGTCGATATCCGACGATTTCGTCGCCGACTCTGCTCACCATCTATCTGCTGCAGTTGCAAGTGCTGCAGTTGCAAGTGCTGCAATATGCTGGCTGCATGATTGGCCACTGTACCTGAGCTGTGATCACACGGCCTCTTCACATCTCTTTAGTCTCATTGCTTCTGCGCCACTGTCACCATCACAATCACGATTCTCGGGCCACAAACTTATGGACAAACGCTGTATCAAACTTAACGACGAGAACCATCGAGAATTGCTGCGTAGTCGCAAAACGAGCTCTCCACGAAGCGCGCGTTTCATTTTCCGTACCAATCGTAATGTTTGTCGATCAACACCTTCTCCACGGCTCGCGACGAGTCCAGCAAAAGAAATGTAGCACGGGCAAGCGATCCGACACGTTTTGAGCTTCCACATGAAAATCGATTAGCTGGGAGTACTGACAGCTTGCATAGTCCATGTCGCTGAAGATTGTAGGGACAATCTTGATATGGTTGTGGAACCTTTACTCTGTTAAATTATAACCTGATGTATGAGACAAAGAGAAGCAATCATGCAGCTTGGGGGCCCCTCCACGCGGTTCACTCCCACCATGTCTTTGCCGCAGCCTCCCGCACAGTCGTTTTCTTTGCAGCCGCTATATGATGCACATTGTAACGGGGTTACACGACGGTTGTAGCGTCTTTCCGAGAGTTTACGGTTAAACTCTCCTTTGTATTGCATATAATGCATTATTATACTTCTCTTTAGAGAGGTATTAAGTATGAGCGTTTTAGTACGGTATTCGGTAATACCGTATCTTATCGATTGAGATTCGATAAATCACTAACGCTGTATTAAGTACATCATACACAGATGTTTAGACGATACGTCGTCCAATAGCAAAGTCTGCATATTATAATTCCTATTATAGTAATTAATCTAGTGTAGGGTACTTAGAGTAGGACTATTCATAAAATCTTAATGCATAAATGGAATCAGTTCTCATTTTGAGTTTAAGATCGCAAGTCGTTCTGACTTGTTCTCTTGTGCACTTCGTGCGTTGCTTCTCTGAACCCTTAAGCTTCTAGCTTGTTCTTGCACTCTGTGCGTTTGTTCTCTGAACCTTAAGCCTATTGCTTGACTAACTTCAAGTCTCTTTGGTCGTTCCTTAGAACAGGGTGACTTTAAGTCGTTTAATTAGTTCCTTAATACTAAGTGGCTTTTAGCCTTAACTCTATTTAGTTCTCTAGAAATAAGAGGCTTCCAGCCAAAAGTCTTCCTCTGGCTAAAGAGCTGTGCAGCTCCGCTACACACATTGTATTTATGCTCGCTAAGCTACCTCGACGCATTGCCGCCGTCATCGCTAAGTTAGTTGTTACGAAAGAAGTATCTCATTCGGCGCGATCGTCATGACAGTCCTGTGTTGTTGACCGAATGAGCGATATCCGTTGCCGTCAAAGTCGAGCGGTCAGATAGATGCTCGGTCTCCGACTGCCTTACAGGAAGCTGCAGCTTCTTTGCTTCGCATAATATCCGAGACAAATAGAATTGGCTAAAGGCGAAGCAGAAAAGGCTTTTTAGGGCTCACACATGGTGAGAATGAAAGACAACAAAGGCTTTTTAAGCGTATTTCCGGCAAATTTGGTGTCAACGTGATACCGAAGTTGCACCCATGTGTCGGAGACCCATTGCGTGAGGTACACGATAAGGCCAACACGCTCGCGGACGCATGGAGTCTCATTTTTGCAACAAGTACCACATGAGAGTGATGTACAGCAGGTGGCATATTGGATTAAGCCAGGCAGCATAGACAATATGACTGTAGACGGGCGCTTTTACGAAATTGCCTCTTGCTACTTAGCACACACCTTATGCACAAGCGAGGAAGTTGTTAGACCGTCTTACTTTCGCGTGCGAGGGTGGTTGTGAGGTTGGTCGACTGCTTAAGCAGTCGTACCTCTTGCTTAACGAGAGTGCAACGAACTTCTAAGACAAGAAGACACCGACGTCACGTAGAAGCTTTTCAGCTTCTTGTGCGTGGTGCTTCGGTGTTAAGCAAATTCAAGACTGAGCTTTATTTAATGAATTATAATTAAATATAAACTTAACTACTGATTGGCTATATATGTATAAAGATCGGATACGCGACGCTTTAAAAGCGTATTCTGAAGCATGAGCTTAAATATAGATTTAAGCTTGCGAATGACGTACTTCTGAGATGTCGCGATGCTTAGCTTCAACTAGCGCCATCCCTTCTCATGTGAATCCATCAATGGATATCAAATTCACGAGGGTGGATCACGTTTGTGTATCACACCCAAGTGACAGGTCAAAAGTAATCATGGATACTTTTAGACCAAACATTAAGTATATTACTTAATGTTTACGTGTAACTAGATACCCTCTTACACCATCCTTCGTTTTAGAACGATTTTTACATCTGTAAAACATCGCCTAGGAGACAGAGAGACTTGCGAGCCGTTATAAACGCGCCGCTTTAGTCTACTCAATTCTCATGCCACCGAAACGAGGTAAGGCTGATGGGTTGCCTACAAAGGCGCCCATGCAGTCCAACACTAAGCGCACGCGCCGCGATTATTCGCAGCTGTCGCAAAGTGCTTCAGGCACTGAGGCGAATCTTCCATCTCACTATAATGTGGATGAAGATCCATCTCTCATTGTAGATTACAATGAGAGCACGCCATTGCCATCACCCCAACGTGGAGATGAGCAAAGCGCATTGTTGGGACATATGTCCCCATCCTTTGAGGCACCCGTCCTTGAGGAAGGCGGGAACACTGTCGTATTTATTACGACTAAAATCTTCGTAATTAGTACGAATTAAAACAAAAATAAAAATCAGAGTAAACTTTACTTAATACCTAATACTTGGGCTTGAGAGTCTTCCTCAAGCGCACGTGTGAGCTAGTGACGGTACGTTCTAGCCCCGTTACAGTGAATACGAAAGATCGTCTGGGGTATGACCGTCTGAAGACCCGTTTGGACATACATGAGCGACTGGTGATGAGAGACCCGCGTCAAGCGCGGAGTCTTCCTCGATCGCCGAGTCCTCTATCGCCTCGTTCGTACACGGGGAGCCTCTCGGCTTCCTCGTCGCCGGATCGGCCGCGACGCTCGACTCACAGTCGAAGTCACCATCGGTCTCGTTAGACCGATGTGGATATGTGATCTCTTCTGGATCCACATATTGTTGCAGAAGACCCACGTAAAATACGGGTTGCGTCTTCATGCTGTGTGGTGGAGTGGGTACTCAAAACTGTATGATGAGACCCCAAATGTAGACAGGCACTTCTACGAAGTTGCCTCGTGCTACCAGCACACACCTTATGCACAAGCGAGGAAGCGGTTAGACCGTCTTACCTTCGCGTGCGAGGGTGGTTAGGAGGTTGGGCGACTGCTTAAGCAGTCGTACCACCAGTTGCCTTTCGCTTAAGCGAGAGTGCAACGAACTTCTAAGACAAGAAGACACCGACGTCACGTAGAAGCTTTTCGGCTTCTCGTGCGTGGTGCTTTTGATTTAGCAAATTCAAGACCTCATTGTATTTAATAGATTTTAACTAAATATAAATCCAACTACTGATTGGTTAATATGTAATGATGGGTGCCATCTCTATAGATGCGCATCCCAACGGGCGAGCTTAAATATAATTAAGCTCGCTCAATGACGTAACTGACTGACGTCATTTGATGACGCCTAGTCCCAGCTGGGCGTCATCCCCATCAATGTGAATACACCTAGTGTATATCACATACGCAAGGGTGTGACACATGGTGTGTCTCACCCGAGCGACAGGTCTTAAGTACTTACGTACCTTTTTAGACCTGCCCGCTAAGTATCGCATACTTAACGGGTACGTGTAACGTTGAGCCCGTTACACCATCCCCCCTTTTAAAACGATTTTTACATCTTGTAAAACATCGCCTAGGAGACAGAGAGACTTGCGAGCCGTTATAAACGCGCCGCTTTAGTCTACTCAATTCTCATGCCACCGAAACGTGGTAAGGCTGATGGGTCGCCTGCAAAGGCGCCCATGCAGTCCAACACTAAGCGCACGCGCCGCGATTATTCGCAGCCGTCGCAAAGTGCTTCAGGCACTGAGGCGAATCTTCCATCTCACTATAATGTGGATGAAGATCCATCTCTCATTGTAGATTACAATGAGAGCACTCCATTGCCATCACCCCAACGTGGAGATGAGCAAAGCGCATTGTTGGGACATATGTCCCCATCCTTTGAGGCACCCGTCCTTGAGGAAGCTTCTATGCTTCCTGCAAGCGAAGGTAAAGCCTCGTCGCCTGCGACTACGAGCGCAGCGACTAAGACTGAGCACGCTACTTCGAAAGGAGTATTTGCGACTCAGTCAGATGTGACTCCTCAAGCTGATGTCTTGACAATCCATAATGGAGAGTCAGACTCAGGTGAGTGTGAGCTCAAAGCTCCACCAAGTACACCTTCGGCCTCACTAGCCCTCCGTCGCGAGGGCGGCTACGTGAGTGGTGGCTTGCCACCAATGCCACCTCCATCTGAGTGGATGAACTCGGATGGGTCTAGCGCAGCGCTTT